GGCGTGGCCACGGCTCAGGGCTGAGGGGGCGGGGCCACTCCGCCACCCCGCGAGACTGGGAGGCCCTTGAGTGATGTCTAGGCTGCGCTTTGAGGGCTTCTTTTTTGAGTCCGGGTAAAACCCAGCTGATGTGACCCTTGCAGATGATGGCACTCTGTCACCTATTCTTAGTTGGAACCCCTGTGAAGAGACCTCTGATATTTACCCACAGTTGTTTTTAACGTCCGGCTACTATGCCTTTTTAATATATATATATATATTTAAAGGAAGTGCCCTTTTTTATATTTTATTGATTTTAGAGGAAGGGAGAGGGAGAGATAGGAACATCAATGATGAGAGAGAACCATTGATTGGCTGCCTCCTGCACACCCCGAAACCCGGCATGTGCACCTGGGACCCTGCAGCTCGCAGGCTGATGCTCTATGCACCGAGCCAACGGGCAAGGGCTTTTATGCCTTTAAGTCTATAACCTGCTAAAGAAAATAACAGAGACTTCAGGCATCTAATCTCATTTTATCTAGTTCTAGCCCAAATATTTCACCTAAATGGACTCATTTCTTGTCCATTAAAACAACCCTTATCTGACCATCTCCTTTTTGAGACTCACACAAGAGAAACAGTTTGCCTAAAAGCAAATTTAGAACTTGACCAAGTAAAGCATTAATATTAATATTCAAAATATCTCATGATGTGTGTATACTTTCCCTCACTGTATAAGGAAACAGACTGATAGAGTTTAAAGTCGCCAGGTTTTGAGTAGGTGGAGAAGTCTGAGAAAGCTGTTGTTAAAGTAGACATACCACACCAACCATATTTATAAAGATGTAAAAGAGCACCAGAACACCTTTTTTCTTTCGGATTTTCCAACAATATCAGCACCAAACCATTTAATTCCTCTTAGCAATAAAGACAGTAAGATAATGAGTTGCCACTCCTAATACTGTAAAAAAGAGACCTGACATTTTGTTTTCTCAGCCTGGACAGATAAATAGGACATTTAATTCAATCGAAACAATTTTGCTTTTCACTTTATCTTCTGATTTAAAAACACAACAGGGAATAAGAACATTATAGACGATCAATAACGTTAAGTTCACAAAAAAAATATGAGGATCCATTGTCCTGGGGATCTCCAGCTTACTTATTTTTTATTATTTTAAGCGATACCACTTTAGCAATGACGCCCTAACACAGTGGTTCTCAACTTGGCTGCACATTAGAATCACCTGGGAATCTTTCTTTTTTTTTTTTGGTGCCCTTGACCAGAATCAAACCTGGGACCCTTCAGTCCCCAGGCCGATGCTTTATCCACTGAGGCAAACCAGTTAGGGCTGGGAATCTTTTTAATATCCTGATTTCTGGGCGGAGGATGAGGCCCAGAAATCAGGATATTAAAAAGATTCCCAGGTGATTCTAATGTGCACCCAAGGTTGAGAACCACTGCTCTAAGACCTAGTCATTGGAGAAGGAACTGAAATTCAAAGTCTAGGAAAACTGAAAAGGGGACCAAATTTAGAGTAACTCCAAAACAATGCCCACGCCTCCCCGATTGGCTGCACCGGTTTCCGGGAAGCCAGCCAATCATCTCCCCAATGCAATCTCAGTGGCGGCATTTTCAATTGGGTAAGCTGGCCTCGGCCCCGCCCCGTGTCCCACTGTTCGAGATCTACCCGTAGCGGTTCGGCTGGAGCCCGGGAGAAGCCTTTGGGGGCCGTAGGCCTAATGAGCGGCCGGCAGAGAACGCTTTTTCAGACGTGGGGCCCTAGCCTCTCCCGATCGGCCGGGTCTCCGTGCTGCAGCTCCGGAACCGAGCGGCCTCAGAGCCCCGGCACCCCCCGGGCGCGTTCTTCTGCCGCCGCGGAGGCTGCCGACGCGCAGACAGAGGCGGACGATGATGTGTTGCTGGTCGCCGTGTACGAGGCAGAGCGGCAGCTGAATCCAGAGAATGGCGGGTTCTGCGCCTCAGCGGGCGCGCTGTGGGTTTACCCTACTAATTGCCCGGTGCGCGACTACCAGCTGCACATCGCCCGGGCCGCCCTGTTCTGCAACACGCTGGTGTGTCTGCCCACGGGGTTGGGCAAGACCTTTATTGCCGCCGTGGTCATGTACAATTTCTACCGCTGGTTCCCATCGGGCAAGGTGGTCTTCATGGCCCCCACGAAACCTTTGGTGACACAGCAGATCGAGGCTTGCTACCGCGTGATGGGTATCCCGCAGTCCCACATGGCCGAAATGACAGGTATTTCAGAAAGAACGGGCTAATTTGAAATTGAGCTTGGTAGGGCAAAGTACCTGTTCCGGTGGCCATGGAGCTAAAGAAGTTCCTGACCCATGTGGAATGGCCCCCAGGTCATATGTTTATCTGGCATCCTCTCCCTTAAAACCTCATCTACAGGCATCCGTCGTTTTAATTGCGCTTAGCTTTGGGCTTCACAGATGTTGCAGTTTTTACAAATTGAAGGCAAGAGCCTCCACCAGCTGAAAGATTAACACTTGCTTTCTTGTGGCTGCCTAGAACTGAACTCGCAATGTCTCTGAAGTATGCCGATACTTGTAGCAGGTCCAGCGATAATGAATAGAATTGCTTTATTCAGTCTTCAGAGAACCCTCCTAGCTTGTCAAGAGTATTTTGAAGCTATTAATTGTGTATATGTACCTCGTCGGTTACCCAGTGTCACTTTTACTTACAGGATCTACTCCAGCTTTCACCAGGAAGGAAATATGGCACAATAGGAGAGTCATTTTTCTCACACCTCAAGTCATGGTAAATGATCTTTCTAGAGGAGCTTGTCCTGCTGCTGAAATAAAGTGTCTAGTTATTGATGAAGCTCATAAAGCTCTTGGAAACTATGCTTATTGCCAGGTAATATTTTGTTTAAAAGTTTGGGGTATTTTTTTTTTGAAATGCATTTTATTTATTTACTTTTCAGTAAGCTTAAATCCTTGGGGGGAACAGCATTACATGGATTCTGTGTCCAG